TGTCCGGTAATCAATCACCTGTCCGGTAATCAATCACCTGTCCGCTGATCTATAATCAATCAATATCTTCTCCTGTTGCATAGGAAAAGTCCGTTTGAGTTTATTGAGCTGAACTGCTTCATGACGTCACTGATCGATAATATCGATCATATTCTTCCAATAATCAGTTCATACAGTGTTTATGTAATCGATTCATTAGTTCACTTCCTTTGTGTTGGCCGGAAAAACGTTCAACAGTAAAAGTAATCAAAGTAAAGTAAAGTAACTGTAAGTTGTACCACCCTTAAAAAAGTAAAAGTATCATAAAGCAGAATGTGAGTTTATTATTATTATTATTGTTGTTATTATTGATCCATTGAGCAGCACTTTAATGTAGTATTAATAATCTGTATTATATTTTATAAACTGATCTGAAAACTGTAACTGTTTATTATCTCTGTACTGGAGATAAATACAGTTATAATATTCTATATATGACAAACAGCTGCTTTACCATTGTATGTAAGTAATATAATAATAATAATAACAATAATAATAATAATAACAATAATAATAATACAGGAACAGCCCATTCATTAAAAGTCAAACATCCTAATTTATTAGTGGTGAAATAAACATACTGAACTAATAAAAGACCTAAAAAACCCTCCAAATTAAAGGTGTCCATTCCAGGCATTTCAGGGTTATTTCCAGGTGGTTTCCAGGTGTGGGGTGGGGGGGCAGTGTGCCCATTCACAAGACTGATATGAAATGTGAACGTTTGACACTGGTGCTGAATTTCAGGAGTCATTCATTTCTATTATTATTATTATTATTATTATTATTATTCAGTTATAATACATTTAATAAATATTGTTTCTCAATAATCTGAGTGATAAATATATCCAATCAATAAATATATAGATTGGACACAAACAGTGTGAGCAGGAGGAGCCGAGCACTCAGCGTCCTCACAGTTCGTCTCTTTATCCTCTGTTGTTTGTCCGATAATAATCCAATAATAATCCAATAATATTCCAATAATAATCCAATAATATTCCAATAAGGATGGCTGGATGATCTGTGCTGTATGAGATCTCATGCAGGATGATTCTGATTCTCTCGTTACGTAAATTATTTTGTAAATCTTCAGTCTTAAATCCGTCGGAGGATCCAGTTTCAACCTTCACTGAAGTTTTCACACAAGTGAAACAATCCTCATCATTCCCATATTTAACAATCAATGCCAAAAAATATCATAAATCACTTTCTTTGTATTTTAATATCAAGAATTCCTTCCTGTAAATGCGGATATATAAATAAAATAAAGAACATTTCCATCTTCATACACTGAACCATCGTACGCAGTCGCAGTGAAAACAGGAGCACGCTTATTTTCTTACTGGCTGGACGGCGCCAATTTAAGATTATCTTGAATTTATCTGACAGTTGCTTTCTTGATCAGTCCATTAACTGCTCAATCAATCAATAAAATGTCAGAAAACCATGATGCATTTCTTTCTGAACAGTTCAGAACCCCAAAATGACCAGTTCACTATGATACAAAACCGAAAGTCTTTCAGAGAACTTCAGTGATTAATAGGTTGTAAAGAAACTTGCATATTATTTGTTTTTGATAGATTATTGGCAAATCGTAACTCCACGCTGCAGATGTGTGTTGAACCTGATGGATATAATAATATAAAGTGGAATCAGTGTTATTGGATGAATGTCAGAGGTTTCTAAAGACAGTTTGGACATATCTTGATATCAGTAAACCACACAGACACTAAACACTTTTCACTCTCTGCTGTTTCTGTCTGTCAGTAAACTGTCTGGACGTCCATGTTGAGAAACATCCGGACCGAGTGGCTCTGATCTGGGAGCGAGATGAACCTGGCACTGAGGTGAAGATCACCTACAGGTATGAACATCTGAAAACATCCAATCTGCAGCAAGTTCCTTGTATCCTCCCTATATGCAGATGATACTACTCTCTATCTTATCAACATTTGCTGTCCAATAGTTCCCTTTATCTTATCATCATAGTGTTTTATGTTGATGTTATCTCTGTCATTACAGCACCATAAATGTAAAGGAAAGCATTGAAGTCTGTGCTAAAGACATACATTCAGTTGGTAAAGTTAAACAGTCACTTATTGGGAAATGACTACAGACTGTAGCTGGCATCAAGACAACCAAAACATCTATCCATCCATCTATACTTGCATACACATGACGTACAGAAGTTTGTGAAGAAGATTCTGAAGTATTTAGTATTTCTTTAATAATCAGTGTGTGTGAGCAGA